ATCTACAGGCCAAATTAGTTCAATGCAAATACAAACTTGCCAGACAAAGCCAGTACAAGATGATATCTCCACTAGTTGAATACTTCCAGAAAAAGAATTTTACTGGCACTGCTAAAAAGAGGTCAGATCTCATAATATATTCAAACTTAGCAGCACTGTTTTTTTTAATCTAGGAAATCTGACAAAACATTATTCAGGATACTTCTGCATAGAGACAACGGCATCGGTGATTGGCTAGAAATCGAGGGTACCTGCAACTGGCTAGAAATGGATATCATTTGCCAGCTTTTGAGAGCATGCTGTTTGTTGTCTATAGAATAGCTCAGTATTTCTCAATCAGTGAGTACCCTTAGGGGTACTAGAGAGAAGTCTGGGGGGTACATACGTACGTCAAGACCACTGAAATTTGGAGAAAACTGAATTTTTGTTTTTTACAGCACTTTATTATGTTTGCACTTTTAACATCTAAAAATGTCATTGCCTGCTCAGCTACCAACAAGTGTGTTGCAATGATAGGCAAAAAAAATGTGTCTGAAAACTGTAGGTACTGGGGGGACTTATTTCTTTAAAGCAGGCATGTCCAAAGTCCGGCCCGCGGGCCAATTGCGGCCCGTGTTCCGGTTTAATACGGCCCCCCCCGGGTAATTTGGCAATATCTATCTTTTATGGCCCCCAACGAATCCATATGTATTGAGATGAATACATTGTAAAATCTCAGTTAATGTCAGTTGGTCTAAATCAGTTATAAATATATTTGGACACAACATGCATACTTGGTGTTATGTTCCTGTTCATATTTTTTGAACTTAAAAGTTGACAGACAACCTTTATTACCAATAATATGTAATGTACTTTACAATGTTCCTGACATATATTTCAGCTTCCTGGATTTTTTTTTCATCTGGCCTTCAGATATGAAAGGCAGAGTGATTTAACACCTGTTTAGATTTGTCATCCATGTGACGAAATGAAAAGTATGCCGTTTGCAATAAACTTTGCATAAAATAGTTAATTTGCATTTAATTTTAATGGTTCAAAGAATGTCAGGCAAAATGGTCGGCCCTCACGCATGTTCACTTCATCAAATCTGACCCTCTTTGAAAAAAGTTTGGACACCCCTGCTTTAAAGGGATGCCTTATAAAAACCCCATCTCGGGAGTCTTTAAAGTGCTGCACAGTCCTGTTTTTTGTTTCAGCTGCACCAGACGAACAGGGCTCCGTTTCTATCACTATTATTTAAAAAAGGCTGAGAGACACTGAATAGCTAATGCCGCAGGGAAATGCAAGAGCAGCAGCAGGACTGACAGGGAGCGCGCCCGGGCTTCGCACCTCTAGGGCTCTATGGGACTCTTATTAAACCATCCTTCAGCCTTGTCCAGGGGGCTAGACTCGTGCGGGCGGCAGAAAGGGCCTTTACCTCAGGGGGGGCCCGCGGAACGCAGAGGCCGAAGCAGCGACAAGGGCGGGAAAGCAGGAACAAAAGAGCCCGCCAACGACCCCCCC